AGGGCCATGCCTTTCAACGAACCGTCGCAATTATCCTCCGCTTGCCAGCTCCATCACGAAGCTGATATACTCTGGATGATCCACAACGTCGGCCATGCGGATGACGTTAGGATGACGAAGAGCTCGCAACGTGTCGATCTCAGTGTAGACTCGCTGTAGGTCTCCAAACCTGCTGAAGCTAGATTTCTTCACCAACTTCATAGCGAACTTCTCTTTCGTGGTTGAGTCAACAGCCTTCACGACTTCGCCGTAGCCACCTTCACCCCGAGTTTCACCAAGTATGTAGTTGGCCACATTCCGAGACAACGGGTTTCGTGTGGGTGATCTGAAATTCCCACCTGTACTCACATAGAGCACCTCATTCTGTTCTATATGGCTCATTTCTGATACTTCGAACCCGTTGCTGAAGAATACGCGTTCGACCGGCAAGTCCAAGCCCAGGCATTCTTGTGCTTTATCGAACAATTCCTGCATGGTCGCCGTCGTAGGAAGTTCGATTCTGATACCTTCCATCTCGTAACCATTTTTCTTGACATACACCGTGAGGCTACTAGGGCTTAGGTTAGAGAGATCATCTTCATCAAAGAACATATATTTTGAGAATAGCCAATTGCTGGCAAGAGATGAAGGGTGATGTTTTTATAACACACGAATGCTATCGGCTGCACCCCCGGAAACTTCTCACTTCGATACATTTTTCCATTACAATCAATTCCCTCAGGCGGGACGGCTATGCCTTAGGCTTATAATCAATTCCCTCAGGCGGGGGTGGCTATGCCCTAGTATAATAATCAATTCCCTCAGGCGGGACGGCTATGCCTTAGGCTTATAATCAATTCCCTCAGGCGGGGTGGCTATGCCCTAGTATAATAATCAATTCCCTCAGGCGGGGTGGCTATGCCCTAGTATATTAATCAATTCCCTTAGGCGGGGTGGCTATGCCCTAGTATATTAATCAATTCCCTCAGGCGGGGTGGCTATGCCCTAGTATAATAATCAATTCCCTCAGGCGGGGGTGGCTATGCCTTAGGCTTATAATCAATTCCCTGAGGCGGGATAGCTATGCCCTTAGGCTAGTCAATTCCCTCAGGGGGAGTAGCTATATAATCAACCTTCTCAACCGTGGTTGCTAGGTTACCATCCCAAGATGCGCCATAATGACCAACATTCCGCACGATAATCGGTGATTTCAATTGCCAATCACAACTGATTACGGCGGTGTACGATACGATGACGATGTCCTGAGCCTAGTTCGTGCCACCTCTCTACCATTTACATAAATCTCAACATCTCTACTGGATCATTTGGAGAAACATCTTCCACTACATAGCGAGGGTTAAACCAAATATAGGCATTAAGCATAGCAAGGCGCATCGGATGAGCTGATTGTTCTAACAAACAGCCATCCACACAAGACTCAATAGAGTCACTCAAAGATAAGAAGTAAACGATGCCAATAGCAAAAAAATGAGATTGGAGCTTCAACAATCACGCATTTAATGCCGAGTCGCGGATTTCATCGGCTTCCTTCTGAGTCTTCTCGTAACGACGTCTCAACTCCGTGAACTGCGCTGGAGTGGCTTGGAAGTCCTGGAAGCCAGCGGCATGGAGCCACTCAGTAGATGGGCCATAGCCAACCTGCGTGTAACCCCAATCAGAATAACCATTCTGATATTTACCAAGGAGAGTGTAATGCATATTGAGCCACTTCTCAGTAACATTGTCACCGAAGCCGTCCATCTTCGTCTCGACTTGGTCGGGGCTTTCAGTGGCCATCATAACATCAACTTCATGCTCGATCTCATACTGAGCCTTCCTAACGTCATTGATCATATACATGTACTTGAGATCCATAACGTTGCAAACAGTTTCAGATGCCCACCAAAGTGACTTATCACTGAACTCCCCCTGCCAAGAGTACTCGAGGGCAGGAATAGACTTGACAGTTTGATCGTGCTTGACAATGATGGGGATGTAGACACTAGCATGTGGGGTCATCGGAGCAAAATAAATAACATTATAGTCCTTGTACGTAACAGCAATGTAAGAATACATAGTACGATAAAGAGAGATTGCCCTTTCCCATGCACCGTGCTGGAAAGTAGCTTCAGCACGTCCACCAGCATATCTATTAGAGTCTTGAAGGGACACCAGCAACGACATGGTCAGTG